ACTGTGTCTTAGCTACCTTGCGTAAAGATCATATGAATGACAAGGTTATTCGCTTCTTGAGAAATCTCAATGATAGCTTTAATGGTCCTCGTTCTACTGTGATGCTGCTTGATCCCTTACCTCCTATCAATAAAGTGTTTGCCATGATGGTGCAACACGAAAGAGAAAATGGTTTACTACCAAAACCCCAGCCTGCTCACAACCCTGCTTCAGAAAGCATGGCGTTCTTCTCTAAAGCAGCTGGACAACATCTGGGTATACAAGGTGTTGGTCAGGGTTTCAAGAAGCAAGGCAAGAAACCTGTGTGTACTTTCTGTGGCTACACTGGTCATACAGAAGAAGTTTGTTACAAGAAGCATGGCTACCCTCCTGGGTATCAATCGAAGAAGAAACAACTGCCTTCTCATCAAGCGAACAGTGTTTCTATTGATCAGGCATCCTCCACTAATGGTGCAGTCATGATCAACCACTCTGACTGGCAAAGTTTCCAGCAGCAGTATCAAAAGATGCTCAGTTTCATGACTCCTCTCACTCAACAGTAGAATGGTGGAAACAATGGCCATTCATTTGGTCAGTTCCCTGCTCCATCCCAGCAGCAGCAATCCCTTCCTGCACCAGCTGGTTTTCAGGATGCTTTTCACACCAACAACCCCTCTCACTATTCTGCATCAAATGATAGTGAAGGTTCTGGTCATCACAACATGATCAGCAGGGCCAACTCTGTTGCATCTCATATCTTTGAGACTGCTGAGCCCTCAGGTACTTTACATTATGCTTTAAATGTAAATTTGTCATTTACATAACAGATGGATCTTAGACACTGGTGCTACAGATCATATAATCTGTTCTCCTAGATTCTTTTCTACTTATAAATCTGTTTCCAACATTTTTGTGCATATGCCTAATGGGAGCAAGGTTTCTGTTGAAGGAATTGGAACTGTTCAGTACTCAGAACACTTAATATTACATGATGTTCTTCTTGTACTATCCTTCAATTTCAATTTAGTGTCTGTGAGCAAATTGGTTCGAAGTACTACTATTTGCTTATGGTTTCATTATTCACTATGTTTCATTCAGGCCTAACCCAGTTTGAAAATGATTGGAACAGCTAGCTTGCTGGAAGGTCTGTACATTCTACATAGTCCATCCCAAATTAATCAGCTGCAACAGAATCTGATTCTTCACACTACTCAGACATCACCACACAGAGTTGCTTTTTCATCTCAGAAGTCCATTGATGTATGGCACTATAGACTTGGTCACATACCAATCTGTAAACTCAAGCAATTGCAGAACATAGATAGCAACATTTCTTTTCATTCTGATTCTCATTGTACTGTATGCCCTCAAGCCAAACAGAAGAGGCTACCTTTTCCTACTAGTACAAGTACAACTCAGGGTGCTTTTGATATCATTCATGTTGATATATGGGGCAATGCTCCAGTTAAGTCTTTTCAAGGCCATTCTTACTTCCTAACTATAGTTGATGATTTCACCAGGCACACTTGGATTTTTACAATGAAAAACAAGTCAGAAGCTCGACCAATAATCATCTCTTTCTTTGCTTTTGTGGAAACACAGTTTAAATCTCAAATTAAAATCATCAGAACAGACAATGGTCTTGAATTCCAGATTCTAGAATTTTACAATTCCAAAGGAACAATTCATCAAACCACATGTGTCTATACCTCTCAACAGAATGGCACTGTTGAAAGGAAACATCAACATATTTTGGCTGTTACAAGAGCTCTACTTTTTCAAGCCTCACTACCTTCTCAATTCTGGAATTATGCAGCTATGCATGTTGTTCACTTGATTAACAGAACTCCTTCTACCATCATTGGAAACATTACTCCTTTTGAAAAACTACATGGTACTCCTCCCTCACTCGGTCACTTACGCGTGTTTGGTTGCCTCACATATGCTGCCACAATTCAGGCTACAATGACAAAACTTGATCCAAGAGCCAATCCATGTATCTATCTAGGTCATCCTCATGGAACTAAAGGCTATCGATTATACAACCTTGTCACACACAACATTCTTACATCAAGAGATGTCTCATTCCATGAAAACATCTTTCCATTCAACTCTCACAATCAGACACTGGACAGCTCAGTTTCTCTACCAGTTTTTCCAGCAGCAACTGCTGAACTGGACTTCACTAGAGCACACACTTGCTCTTCTCTGCCAGCAACTTCCCTATTCATTCCACAATCCATTCCAATACCAGATAACTCCCTCACTGGTCCCCCACCAACCTCTACTTCCACTTCCACTAATCCTCCATTACTAAGGAGATCTACAAGACAAATAAACAAACCTGCTAGAGTTAAGGATTACAAGTGTAACCTTATCAGTCAAGCCAGTTTACTATCCAAAGTTGCATATCCCATTCAGGGACAGCTTTCTTACAACTCTCTCAGTCCTAACCACAGAAGGTTTGCTCTAGCAATCACTCACATCAGAGAACCAACTACCTACAAAGAGGCTTCCAAGTCACAGGAATGGCTCCAGGCAGTTAATTCAGAGTTTGCCTCTCTGGAAAAAACAAAAACATGGGTCTTAGTTGATCCCCCTCCCAATGTTCCAATAATTGGAAACAAATGGGTTTTTCGATTAAAATTCAAACAAGATGGCACTATTGACAAATATAAAGCCAGGCTGGTTGCCAAAGGCTACACCCAAACTCCAGGAGTTGAGTATTTGGGTACTTTTTCTCCTGTTGTTAAAATGACCACAGTTAGAATCCTCCTAGCTTTGGCTGCAATTTACAACTGGCATCTAGAACAACTAGATGTTAACACAACCTTTCTTCATGGAGACCTTCATGAGGAGGTCTACATGAAGCTACCTCCTGGATTAAAAGTGAGTCCTACTGATCAGAACAAAGTCTGCAAACTCACAAAATCCCTCTATGGATTAAAACAAGCCAGTCGACAATGGTTTGAAAAACTTGCTGCTACTTTAGAACACCTAGGCTATCACAAGTCACATAGTGATTATTCACTTTTTACTAAACAAAATGGTGCTTCTTTTACTGCACTTCTAGTTTATGTTGACAACATTATCCTAACAGGCAATGATATGCCAGAAATAAAGAATGTCAAACAACAGCTGGATGCTGCTTTTACTATTAAAGATTTAGGACCATTGAAATACTTCCTAGGAATGGAAGTTTCCAGGTCAGAAATAGGCATCCATTTGTGTCAAAGGAAGTATGTTCTTGATCTCCTTTCTGACACAGGATTCCTAGGTTCTAAGCCAGCAACCACCCCATCGATTCCTGCAACACATCTTTCTGCAAATGATGGAACTTTAGTCAATACCACTTATCATAGTTCTTACAGGACACTAATTGGTAGATTTCAATATCTATGCAATACACGTCCTGACATTTGCTATACAGTAAACCAATTAAGTTAATTCGTTGATTCTCCTACTACAGTTCATGAACAAGCCACCCATCGACTGCTTCGCTATCTAAAGACAACACCAGCCAAAGGGCTTTTCTTTCCTGGCAATTCCTCTATTAGACTTACAGATTTCTCTGATTCAGACTGGGCTGGTTGCCCAGACACACGACGATCAGTAACTGGATTTTGTGTCTTCTTAGGTAACTCCCTCATCAGTTGGCGCTCCAAAAAGCATCAAACTGTTTCTCGCTCATCCGCTGAAGCAGAATACAGGGCACTCGCTGATACAGCTCAAGAACTTCAATGGATGACGACCCTATTTCGACAGCTCCCGGTTCAACCTCAGCAGCCATTCACCATCTATTGCGACAGCCTCTCTGCAGTGAAGATGACTCAAAACCCTGTTCAACACGAGCGCACAAAACACATTGAAGTCGATTGCCATTTTACTCGAGACCAGGTTCTAGCACACAAATTGAAGGTTCAGCGTATCTCCACTACCTTGCAGCTGGCCGACCCCTTCACCAAAGCGCTTCCTGTCCACACCTTCATCGAATTAATTTCCAAGCTCAACCTGAAAGCTATCCACGTTTAGCTTGCGGGGGGTATCAAGGATACGAAGGATCGTTTTGTAACAAATTCAAATGTTTAGGATTAAGATTGTACATAGTTCAATAGGATAGGTACTAATATGTAAGTTAGGCTAGTTAGTTAGACCTGTAACAACTTTTCCCTCCTTTTCTCTCTCTTCTCTTTCCCTGTAATCTGGGTATAAAACCAGTAATCTCAGCTGGTTAATGTACGTTTTCCAGTCAATCAATTGAGAAATAAAGTTTCCTTCAGTAAACTAGCATTTTCTGAGTTCTCTAAATCTCATAAATGTGGCAATTTATTAACGTCACATGTCATTATTTTTGGGTTAATATCACATTTGGTCACTGAGATTACTAAATCGTGTCATGTTTAGTTACTAGAAAAATTTAATATCAATTTTGGTCACTCGAATTACTAAAACATGTCACATTTGGTAACTCTACTGTATAGAGTTGGACGGAAACTAACGGGAGAGTGACTAAATGTAACCAGTTTCAGTAATTCGAATTACTGAAACATGTCACATTTGATCACTCTCCTGTATGGAGTTGGACGAAAACTAACGGGAGAGTGACTAAATGTAATCAGTTTCAGTAATTCGAGTGACCAAAATTGATATTAAATTTTTCTAGTGACTAAACATGACACAATTTTGTAATATCAGTGACCAAATGTGGCATTTACCCATTATTTTTTGACAAACCAATCTTAAAGCTTTTTAGCAAAATGAAAATTTGTAGCTAAATCCAAACCAAATAAGAAATTTGATGTGTGAGACTACACTTGGGGGTCGTTTGGATGGATCATTCTTAAAATGAGACAATTTGAGTCAAAAGTCTCATTTTGGAAAATGAGTCAATTAGATGAGGAAATTTTCCCAGAATGTATCGTTTGGAATGGTTTGTGAGATGGGGAAATGTGTTAGAGTAAATACAATTTTACCCCTGTCTTCTACAAGTTTCTCTTCCTCTGTTTTTCTGCAAATTTTTCGACCTTTTCTGGGTTTTCTTTCTGGATAGTTCTCAGGGAATCCCCTCGAGTTATCATCCACAAATCTATAATCGGTAATTATAGCAGATTCAACCGTGCCAAATTGAAATTCGAGCAGATTCACTATATCCAACAAATCCAAATTTCGATTAGAACACTAACAAACCACAATAAAAAAAGAACATGATTTGTTAAAGCCAAATCTGGGTTTCAACTCCATCCGTTGGTGATGGCTCACAATAAAGAAAAACAAGATTGAGCTCTCCTTCATTTTCTTTCTTTGACTTCTTCTTTGCTTGTTCATCTTCATCCCTACCACAAAGTTGACTTTCTCATAGTCAGATGAAGACATAGGTTGCAGGGGAAGAAAAATCTAGCTTCTAAGAACTCTAGTTTTTAGAGGAAAGGAAATTGCTAGTTCAAAACAGAAAGCGTGGGCAAAGACAAAGATCAACCTCTGAAAACTCGAACTCAATTAATCACTTTCTCCGAAGAGCTTCTCTATTCCTCTCTTTGACTCGTCTTCGCTCTGCCAGATTTAGGTCTCGCCATCGAAGCCTAGATCAGAAAGTCTACAAAAAACGAAAGAGACAAGATCGGCGATCTCGTTCTCGCCGTTGCATGCCGTCTACGTCTATCAGAGAGAGACGGGAAAGAGAGGAAGGGATTTTTATCGGTGACAGTTGAAGAAAGATGGGAAAGAGAGAAGAAAGGTTTCGTCTCTGTGAAGACTGAAGAGAGAGAAGGAAAAAATGAGAAGGTCACTTTTGGAAGAGATGGGGAAAACGCGTCAATTATAATTCCCTCCCCCTCCACCCAGGTTTTTCCAATTGCACCCTAATGATCCAATTCTAATTCCCCGGCCCAAATTGCTCCATTTTGCTTTTGGGTTGCCAAATGAGACAATGTGGTCCAATTGTCACATTCCCTCGTGAGAAACACCCATCCAAACAACCCCGACTTTATAAATACTCAAACGATCAATTAGTAACTCAGCAAGTAAATGGGTTCACAAAAGCTAGCCACCAAGCTTTTCTAATGGCACATAAATAACAGTGTAAATCTATGGCACCATTCACAATCATAGTAACATAACAACGTGAAAAGAACACATTCTACCCATCTGGAAAGACTCAGATTCAAAGTTCAAACAACACACAAAGCTCAATCAAAAGTACTTCTTTGCTTTCACCACAAAACGCAGCTCCATGACCGGCAAATCTTTGCATGTCATACGAACATCACCTTGCTGTTCTGTCCGACTGCCTTATCATCGGAAGATTAGCACACATAGTTCGGCACCTAATGACTTCTCCAATCATACATTTCCAGAAACGGAGCTGTCAATCAAAGTTGGCATTCAAGAATTTCAGTAATTCATTTCTTTTGTTCTCTGCCTCTTTGTCCTCTCTTGACTTCTCCACCTTCAACAGTATCTGAAAGCAGATGCGCAAGTGAATGTTTTGAAGATCCAAAAATCACCCATTAGTTCGTTTAGAGTGTCAATGGCAGCCTTACCTTTTTCCCCGAAACAGCACTTCGACGCACACCGTCATCTTTGTCACGTCCTAAAAACTGCATGGAAGGTACAGATGGAAGGGAAGGGTTTAGGGCATGCAAATGAATGGGCAAGATCAATTGTTAACATTGTAGATAATCCGAGTGGAGTCAACCAACCTTAGAAAGTTGGACCGGACTGCTCTTTCTCTCTTCCCGTGCCTTCTATTGATATCTCCCATTGCCATGACAAACCAACCCCCGAGCCAAATACAAGAAACCCAAGGCAAAGCAAAACCAAAGTTGCCCAGACATCATGTCACATACCCCAGCTCCAATGTTCGAAGAGCCACATACACAGGCAGAAACGTATCATAAGTATCTCAGACTTCAAGCATATACATATCTAGCGAATTGTCTCGCACAGCAAAAAATTAATAGAGACTGACTGAACTAACATATCATATGAAGCAATCGGTGGCTACCTCTTTTGCCTTTAGCTTCTGACGCTTATGACGATGATTCTTTCTTCTATCCTTGTCCTTGCTCTAGCGGAGATGGGGAGAAAGAAAAAGGTAATAAGACCAACCAACTTTGAACCAGACAACCATAATAGAAACTAGAGGATCATCAGTTGTGTCATCACCTTTTTCGACCTATCGCTTTTCTTAGGCCTCTTTGAATGGTTAGATGTTTCAGGCTCACTATCGGATGAGCTCTCACTTCTGCAAGTAATCCAGAAAAAGAAACAACGCATTTAGCAGATCATGACCATTAATCGCCCCTACTCAGATAATCACCAAAGAACCGGAACAACCTCTAAACTTCTGATAACATTTGAGTTACAAGAACCCTTTTGCATACCAATCAAACAACAATGGAGTTCAATATAGGGTCGAACCAATACAATCAATTGGTCAGAAAGCAGCTAATCTACAAGCGGGTCACTCTATTCTATCAGAGTACTCAATTTGTGCTCATAGTAGACAATCCAGAACAAAAATTGGCTACGAGAAAGATCTAATCGATTCTCATATTGTCTAGGCCTAGAGCGAAAAAATAGCAATCAACACGACCATAGGCGAAATAAGGAACAAAGATGTGCGGCAGAATGAAACCTGGAGTATGAATCAGAAGAAGAAGACTCGTAGGAATCGGGGGAGGATGAGGAGCGGTGGTGCCGGCGGCGACGCTTGGGATGGGATTTTTTGTCCTTTACCTTCTTACGAACCTTGAGAGACTCTCTGTCCCTGTCGCGTCGGCTGCGGTGGTGGCGGCGACGGCTGCGGGAGGCCGAGGAGTCGGAGGAATCGGACGTTTCCGACGACGAAGAGGCCGCCATGATCCCGGGGAGAGTGAGCGCACGAATAGGGTTTGGTTGAGATTTGCAAATTTGGGGGATTTGGCGAACTTTCTAATTGCGTATTGGGCTTTGGCGGGTTCCAGTAAGAACTCGCGACTCTAAGCGCCGCCTTTAGGCCCAATGTGCCGGCCCAGTAGGGTAGATTTGGAGTCGCCACCAAACCAACTGCGGTCCGCGGAGCTATTTAATTTGGCCAATACTACGGTGTCGCTATAAAAACTGCGGCACCGGTGACGCTGATTTTGATTGGGCCACATGAAGCTGATGTGGCATGTGTATAACTTAATTAAATCGGTCCAAACTCAATGGCCCATTAGAAATGGCCTAACCCAGCAACCGTCAAACTAACGGACGTCTTCCACCGACCATTTAATTGTTTTCGTTTTCCATTTATTTAATATTTAACTACATTCATTATTCTCCTGAAAGAAAACAACAACGAAAAAGCAAACACCATGAACATCTTCCTCCATCTCTCGGTCGTCTGATTCTGAAAAGAGCGGAGTGCTCCGGCGAACCGATCAACACCTCCATACCCTGCACTAAGTTTTTAACTGTATTCCTCCTCCATTGATTGTTTGTAAACCAAAAGAATGAATCCCTGGTTTCGAGCGGCCTTCTATCTCCGTCGAAGAACTCTGCTGATACCAACGAAGGCAAAGGAGGTGTGAATCGCCCTCCGCTGCAGCGTCCCCTCGCTCTGTACTGAAATTTCGAAGCGGAATGCGAAGCTCCTTCGTGCCTAAGCCCTAGAGGCATTGCCTAATAAATGCGAAGGGTCCTGGTAATTCAATTCGTTTGTTTTTTGAGAAAATAGGACAATGATTGGTCTCGTTTTGGTCCCGAATCAGGCTAGTTTCCTTTTGCCTCTGAGTTGTTATGCAAGTGGCGCCTTGTTTCCAATTTTTATCCTTTACCATGTTGTGTTTACCGAGCATCAGGGAACTGGTTGCTCTGTCCTTATTTTACTTCTCTGTTCTCTTTTTTTTGGTTGATCTTTTTTCCCCATTTTGAAGCCAAAACTTGAAAGTTTGTATGTTTGTTTCTGCTTCTTTGCGTTTGTATTGAATTGGAACGAGGAGAACAATAATAATTTTGTTCATAGTGATAATGATTTGATTACTGAGTATGATGGGAAAATCCCTAGCTCACAGAAGCACACCCCCATTAGTTCAGCAGGGGGAACAAGTGTGTAGACCATCGCTCTGCCGCCACCGTATCAGGCCATTTGAAGCCAAAGAGAAAGGCAACGCCCTAGCACTTCATCGTTCCCCTCATTTACTCTTCAGATCCACTTCCCGGGTTCAAATTTAGTTAGTAATTGGGTTTTATATGCGACACCTAGTGAGCACCAGCTTATTTAGTTGATTAAATTGTCATTTTATCGTCGTTGATGTGCAACTTCATTCTATGTGTGATGTGTCAAACTTTAGGAGGGATCCACAGTATTTCCTTGCTAATCGAGAACAGGTTGGGTCAGTTCCAGGTTTTGGCAACCAAATGAACTTACAGCTTCAAACTTCAGCTGATATTATTGACTGAACTTAGGAGACTGACGGTAAGTGCAGGCATGCCCATAGGGACACTGATTCAGGCAGTATGCTAAAGTTGTTAACCCTCATTTTAAGCTGGTGTTGGTACACCTATCTGTTCTTACTTTCATAAAGTTATATCATCGAGGTTAAGTTTGCATTTGAACCCCGCTGATTCCATGTGTCTTCTTATAACGCAGATTTATTCACACAACTGCACTTCATGTACTTCACTAAAAAAAAAAACTGCACTTCATGTACTTGGAAAGGCAGGAAGACCTGTAGAGGCATTATGGATATATTTTACTCAATGCAGGTAATTCAAGATTTTCATGACATATAGACATTTATATTTTCTGTTGGCTGCGTTCTTAGTGAGTTGATGGCATATAGGATGTCCTGCTAATTCAAAACAGTTCACTTTTGTTTCATCTCCCAAAACGCATCCCTACCTATCCGGACTTGGTAGCTTATCATTCTATAGCCGTCACTCTCGATCAAGCAGGTTATATGAAGAACTTTTTATGTTTTTGATAGCATGCAATCGCCTTCTATGAAGAAGTCCAAAGCAGGGGTTTATGGAACTGGGACCGGATGTTAGATCCTAATGCAGTCAGTAGTTCTCAAACATTTTATCCAATAATTATCCGAGACAACATATGTATGAATCTCCACACTGTACACCTGTTTCCAGGTCCTCAATGCTTGTGTCCGAAGAAAGCAATGGGAATGTGCATTTTGGGTCTTGCCGCAGTTGAAGGATCAAAACCAGAAACCTTGAACTACAACTTCATATGGACTAGTCATGGAGGTAGCTCCTGCGTCGTCTTTATGTCATGTGTCTCTTTGATCATTCTCATAGCAGCATTCCACACTCTCTTTTATCCTTGTTCCTCCATGTTAGAACCCACACATGCGACCCCTGATTACACATGCATAAAGAAGACTTAAATGTATGAGTATAATTATTATAATCATTATCTATCACCATTATAAAAAAAAAATATTATAATCATTATCATTGGGTATAAACTTGATGCTCACTGTGGCACAGCCATCAGTGATCTTTGGCATGCATAGATGACACTTGTCGGGGAACTCATCATTTTGGCTCATTGGGAAAGCCTGTTGTCATAAATTGCAAGGTTGTAGTTATCGTCTGGTTGGTATGATAACTTATGAACTCACTGCCAGTTTTTATCGGTTGAGCTTGGAAAATGGCACAGCCACCAAACTACCTCCGTTGTGAATGATAATAAAAAAACCAGAAGGACAGGAGAGTGCAAGACCAAGAAATGAGCACATAATCAAGTATAAGAGGTTAGGTCCAATAGCTCCCTGGCTTTGGTTTTACAGAGTGAAACTACAATATACCTCAATAACAGTCTTGGATCAAATTAATGCTGCAATATATGTCCGATCTCCATCGAAACTACAAGGACCACAAGAACAAATTAAAGAAGCGTTTGGTATTAGCTACGAACCAACCACAAAACTCATACTACAACAAAATACCAATTAAGACAGGCATTTGACACTAAGGGTGTTATAGTTCATGAGCAGGCTGCCTAGCAATGTACAATTAATGACTTTCCAAACATCATTACTACCTACAAACTAGTAACTTCCACGATTACACGCGACATGGAATGAAAGAAGGGTCAATTGCAAAAATAAAACTCAAACAAAATGCCTTCTTATTTTGCTAATGGAGAGAAGAAAAATAGAGTAGCAGAACAAGGACAGAGAATCCTCTACTGCTCGTGACAGAAAGACAAATGAAAAAGGCAGATATTGAGAACAAGGATCCTATTGCTGCATCCTAACTTAACACTTCAGAGGCCAAAAGGAAAACCCAGAGACATTCAAGACTAAAATGACCCGAAACAGTGTCATGTTCAAAATACACACGACCGAACTACCTGAAAGTCTTCGTTGGAGAAAGTCGCTGCCTCCAAGGAACTTCATATTCGAAATTTGACACTTCCAACAAGGGACGACGCAGTGGGATGGAAATTATATTTTTCTGTGGATCGTGTGGTACGGTGACGGCGGAGCAGTTCGACGGAGACAGAGTGCCGGTCGGTCGAGGGATGTGTTCGATTTCCTTTTCTCATGAAAAATGTAGGAGAAAGACGGTTGAGTTTAGTGGATGCTTATGTTCGAGACTCGAGATTGAATCAGCGATTGAGAAGTTCGGTGGAACTGCTTATTACCTTCCGTCGAGCAGGAGAGCGAGGAAAACGACGAACGGCCTCAGGGCTTCGTTTTTCCTATTTTGTTTTTGTTGCTCGAAAAAACATTTTAAATGAATTAACGGAAAAAAAAATTAAAAGGAAAGCTGAACCAGAGATGGGAAGACGGAACAACACAGCGCTCTAGTACTTGGCCCAATGGCGATTTCGACCGGTTGATGGCCGTGTCTAGGCTGGGTATAAACTTAACCGGTGCCACATCAGTTCCATGTGGTCCAATCAAAATCAGCGTCACTGGTGCCGCAGTTTTTATAGCGGCACCATAGTATTGGCCATTTAATTTTAATACACAATTTTGTGGCTTCGAAATTTGCTACTGAAATTTGAAATCATTTAGTATAATAGAAATTTTCTTCATTTCTTTAAAATATTAAGAATTTTTTATTTTTAGATCAATGCATAAATTCGTCCAAATTAGTAATTAAAAGATGTGGTATACTATATACCATTTATTCATGCCAGAATAATATTAGAAACATATATTCGCCTGAGAAATATGATACATGGTAATATAATTAAGGATAGACAATGATTCGATGCACAATGTTACGGTTATAAATTGAAAAGAATATGACCAGACCAAAATTGAGGTGAATAGGCTAACTTTCCGTTAATCCTTACATTTAACTTTTTCGATTCGGCCCCCTCCCAATCCCAACTCCACCCGGCACCCGGTTCTGAATGGACTGATCCATGTCTTCCACCTTTGCCGAATAAATGTCCAATCTGTTGTTTTATTTACAGGAATATTTTATGATGTTTTTTGTTTTTTTATAGGAATAATTTTCCCCCAATTTATTTAATTTGTATATAGTCAACCTGGCAAAACAGAGTATGGCCTAGAGAACAGAAGGTAAAATGCAGAATCGAATAACACAGACTCAATTTTTTACGTGGTTTCTAGTATTGGGAGAATGAGGATCCCAATACTGACTATTCCACGGGTCGGAGAATCACGGTTTGCGATTTCCGACGATTCACTAGGTATGATGATCTTGTTTCTTTGACAGATTTACACTCACGAGGTTAACCTATCCAATCCTGGATGATTAACCAAATTACTGACACCTATCTCCCAAACTCCAAACTATCTAGCTTCTGTGTTTTCAAACACACTTCCTCTCTAACACTGTTTCACTCCTGAACCAATGCTAAAGCTACTTTTCACTATCAATCACACTCGCTATTCCCTTAGCCTTCCTTGTGTGCCT